AAAGGTTAGATTCTCTGATGCGCTCCGAACATTGACCTGGGTCAGGCCACTGTTTCTGGGCCACCTTGATGAAATGATGATCAAAAGCAGTCTCTTGTCAAACGCACACATACAGCCCTTAGATGCACCATCGTGCGGGCCAGAGACCCATGCACTCGTGGGGTGCAGTCCAGGGCGTCCTTTCTTCCCAACCCTCCCCGCCCTCTGCCCTCACTGAGATGCACTTAGTAGGGCTGAGCCCAGTATGCAGGGCTGGTGGTCTGTGGAGACGGCCCTTTCCCCAGCCCCTGGCCCCAGCAGGGTTTGGCTTGATTATTATCTTTATTTATTTATTTATTTATTATTTATTTTTTGTGGCTGGCCAGGAAGGGGATCCAAATCCTTGACCTTGGTGTTATAACACCATGCTCTAACAGCCTATTATTATTATTCTTGTCTTGTTTTGTTTTCGGTTTCTGTTTGGGATGAGGGTGCAGCTTGAGGGTCCTCTGAGCCTCAGTTGGGCAACCCCGGGAACAGTCCTGTCAGTTACGACTGTGTTTGGGGTCCTTATGTGCCGCCCCGCCCTTCGGTAAAATAAAGATGCTGGGCAAGGATTCTAGGGTCACGGGATTGACAATGGCTTTGCTGGTTGTTAAGATCCAAGAGTCCTAAGGGGTGAGGGGCCCGTGTGTGCAGGGATCTGAGCCGCCACCCACCTGGCTTAAACAGAGAGGGGTCCCTTTATCTGTCTAGCATATTGGGCTCCCTCAGAAGATTTCATCTGAGGAATGAACAAAAGAAGCATGCGCGCATACACAGACACACACACACAAGTCCCACAAGGTTTCTATCACTACATAAAAATGTTGGAAATCATCAGACTAGAGAATGTGATCAGGCTGTTACAGGTGTGGGAATCCACGACTCAGATCACGTCTGTCTTTGCCCTGGTACCTTCAGTGGCTCCTGATCACCTCCTCTGGCATCAACTCCAGCCCCTCAGTGGCCCTGGCCCTCTTCAGAGTCTAATGCGGCTAGCCTACTGCCCAGTCTGTCTGCTGCAGGCCCCCAGATCATGAGTGTGCTGTACCCACCTCCCTGCCTCGCTCGTCCCGTTCTCAGCCCAGCTCACTGCCCCCAGCTCATCTCTACCCGACAAAGCCCTCCCCGTTCTTC